TGACCTTAATAAGACATCTGTGACCTCGGAATCGGGTCGTCGTTTTTTGTTATTGTTTGACTAATGAAGTTAACTGTGACCTTAATAAAACATCCGTGACCTCGGAATTGAAGCAGTTATCTGAATTAATCTAATTGTGATCTTAATAAGATATCTGTGACCTCGAAATCGGACCAGTTATCTGAATTAAGCTAATTGTGACCTTAATAAGATATCTGTGACCTTATATTTTTTTCGATGAATGACTAATGAAGTTAACTGTGAACTTAATAAGATATCTGTGACATCGGCATTAGAGCAGTTATTTGAATTAAGCTAACTGTGACCTCAATAAGATATTTGTGACCTTGGAATCGGTATAATCTCCTAAATTAAGTGCGACCGGGAAGTAGTCGCCCAAGTAGTCGCCGGAGCAGTAGAGGTGGTGGAGGTGGGGTGGGGTGGTTAATTATATTATATCACAATTAAATATTTAATTTAATATAATAATTGTAAAATATAATTAATTAATTCATGAAAAAAATCTGATTTTTGTAATTATAAATATTGGGGCCTGATTTTTGATTTCATGATAGATAATACCCGATCCATAAATTTTTCCCTTTACATTAATTTTATCTTAATGGGCTTGTATTATTATTGGGCTGGCCCAAAGCCATATAGGGTTGTACTGTAAGCTTTGGAAGAACGTTGAAATGAATTGATGCATTGAACGAATTGGCTTGCAGCCTCTTCCTCCCCGTCCCCTTGCTGTTTCTTCTTGCAGCCCCTCTTCTCCTTCTGCTCCAATCTCCCCTGTTTCCCCTTTCTTCTTCTCTTCTTCTTTGTCTGCTCCTTCATCTGCTTCCTGTTCTTATTTTCCCGTTTTCCCCTTCCCCATTCTGTTTTATATTAATTTGGTTACAATTTCAGCTTGCAAGAATTCCATTATTGATCTGTGCAAGTCTAGGTTACGAGGTAAGGTTCCGCTCGTGACAACAATCTTCCTCATTTAGGGTTTTGCTGAGGTTTTTATTTTTATTTCCACCCCTTAACCTACGAGCACCGAAAATACAATCCATGGCGTCTTCCGGGGCCCCGATGCAGGATTCCATGTCTGCCTCGGGTCGTGCGTCGGAGAAGCTTAGCCTTCCGGTTCTGCAATCCAAGATGAAGTCCGACCCTGAAGGCTATACGTCGGAGCTCGTTTTAATTTACAACCAATTCAAGTCATCTCTCGAACTTTTCGAGCAGCAAGCGGCTTTAAATTTCACCTCATTGAGTGGAATCGCCACCGACCCGACGGTGGCGAAGGATTTGGGTGACAGAGCCTTGTTCTTAGCCCATGTCACTCCATTTTACCATAAACAATTAGCGCAATTCCCAAAAGAGCTGGCACAATTTTTGAAGTCTTCGGCCCGGTCCCTGCCGTCGGGACTCAGGGTGCATGTAACTCAAGCTCTGATTCTTTTAAGTAATCGCAAGGTACTTTCTTCTTTGGATTTTTTGAATTATTTTCTGATGAATGTGTTGTTTAGATTTGTTTGTCATTATTTGAATAATGTTTGGTTTTTAAAATTTCTTAACTATAATTTACCACGATCAGAGCGTTGAAATAATTGAAAATAACTGCAGCCTAAAATGTAAATTTCCATTATTTTGAGGGTTTAGAAATTAAAGAGCAAGTTGTCCCTCTTAAAAGCCTATTTTAGGTGCATATTTGTATTTTATACTAATGATTTTTAGATGGAACTTTGAGACAGAACAGAACTAGTGTTTATATTTACCAGCGTTCTAAATTATTGTTGGTATTACTTTGTTGTGTATTAGCTAGTTGATATTGTGGAGACACTTGAATTGTTCATGGAGCTCCAAAGTTTGGGGGATAGGGTGCTGAGGCAGCTAGCATTCTCGCATGTAATACATGGTATTAGGCGGATGAATCAGAAGCATAAGAATGATCCCAAGAATCGGGCACTTCAAAATATTTTGTTCTGCATGTTGCAGGTATTTAAGTTTACTAGGTAAACCTGTTTTTCTCATTTCTAGTGGTTTAATCATTATTGTCTGAGTTCTTGTTTCATGATAGCAAGAAGATGAGGCAATAGCGAAGAGAGCTCTTATTACCCTCTGTGATTTTCATCGGAGGAAGGTCTGGTTTGATGATAGGACAGCAAATGCCATATGCATGGCTTGTTTTCATGTGTCCTCAAAGTGAGTACCAAAATTGCATATTTGGTTGTCCTACTCTTGTTTTTCGGTTTTACATTGCGTGTTCACACTTGAAAAACTATATGTATTGGAATTCTTCAGGATCATGATAGCTGCTCTGTCATTTCTTCTTGATTTTGAGAAGATTGAAAATGATGATGACACTGATGATTCAGGCAGTGAAGATGACCTTGAAACACAGCAGACTCAAATAGTAGTCAATAAAGAGTCTATTTACAAGGTTTGTTTTCGACCAACACATGACCCAAAAACCGGGCTTGGTGTTTGAGAAATCATTGGTAATTTTAGCATCTCATTTATTAGCTAGCAAAACCCTCATATCCAAATTGTTGAATTTTCTTCTGTGTGCAACTTGGGTTTTAAGAATGGATAAGTTTAGTATGCTGTTCAAGCTGGGAGACCTTCCTTATTGCATAAACTTGTCAATGTGGATTGTAGGAAAAATCCTTGTTCAGCTGATGTTTCTTTTCTGCTTCATTTTCATTCTGAAGTGAACAAAGGAAAACCATTATCATGTTGTTGTGGCTAAAATAAATGGCATATAACTCATAATAAATGTTTGAACATCTAGGCAAAGCATAAAGGCACAACATCGAGCAAAAAGAAAAAGAAAGCGAAATTGCAGCGTGTCATTCGTAGTATGAAGAAGCAGCAGCGGCTCTCCTCTGAGAATAGTAATAATTCAAATTACTTTTCACCATTAAACCATTTGAAAGATGCACAGGTTCGTTTGAATATTGTCAGTGTTTGCTGTGATGTGTTCTGTTGAAAATGGTAGAAAGCATTTGATTCGTATTCTTCCTACAGGGCTTTGCTGAAAAGCTGTTCTCACGACTGCAAACGAGCAATGAAAAGTTTGAGGTAATTCATATTCATTTTTTCATCACTTTGTTTTGAAATAGGGAATTTTGTTGTTATCTGTTTATTTTTCCCTGCAGGTTAAGATGATGATGTTAAAAGTAATTTCCCGAACTGTTGGTCTTCACCGCTTGATTTTGTTAAACTTCTATCCTTACCTTCAGAAATACATTCAGGTGTGTAATTTATTATTCTCAGAGAGTCATGGAGGCAATTGATTTTGATTTTTAGCTGAAGTCTGATTATATTTCGTTCAGCCTCATCAACGTGACGTCACAAGTTTACTCGCAGCAGCTGTGCAGGCGTGCCATGACATGGTATTTTCCATTTTGTTGAATCTTATTCCCATTCACTGAAGCGCTGACCGCCTCATCTGTTGTCAATAGAGAGATTCTTGCTCAGTCCTGATATTTTATTTTCTGTTTTAGGTGCCACCAGATGCAGTAGAACCATTATTTAAGCAAGTAGTCAATCAATTTGTGCACGATCGATCACGCACTGAGGTATTACTTTTTTTTTTCCTTGAGAAATAAGTTTTCCCATTTTGATTGGACCTTATTTGGCCCGTTGGTGTTCCCAGGCAATCTCTGTTGGACTGAATGTAGTGCGGGAAATATGTCTACGCATGCCTTTGGTATGCCCATTTCCTTGAAGCCATACCCATATGTTCTTTTTTCCTTGACTTTCTGAATCTCACACCTAGTATATTCACCTTATCCTTTCCCAGTTGATGAGTGAAGATTTGCTGCAAGATCTCGTTTTGTATAAAAAATCACATGAGAAGGCAATTTCTTCAGCCGCACGTTCACTTATTACTTTATTCAGAGAGGTAAATGAGCCAATGATGTTTTAGTAGTCAGTAAATTGAGTGGAAGGGATTTTGTTTGGGAAGACTAAAAAGGTACTTTGCAGGTTTGTCCTTCACTATTGATCAAGAAGGATAGAGGGAGGCCTACTCACCCAAAGGCCAGGCCTAAAGCATTTGGAGAGGTGCAGGTTGCTAGTAATGTCCCTGGGGTCGAGTTGTTGGAACAAGATGATGATGGCAGTGGTGATGACATTGATGAGGATGGGAGATACAGTGACTTGTCCGATGATGATAATGAAAATGATGATGTTGGCCCTATTGAAGAAGGTGATTCTCAGTGTGAATCTGGTGGGTCCAGTGATGATGACTTTGTTACTGACGGTGACAGTGGTGAAGATGATGTACAAGAGGATGAAGAAGTGTCTGATAGCGATAATGATAATGAAGCTGCTGATCATGCAGATGACATTAGTGACGAATACAAGAGTGATGAGGAGCTAAAGGACTCTACCACTTTACTGGAATCTGATGATGGAACTGCTAAGGACGTGAAATCTAAAGCACAGAAGAGGAAGTTTTCTGATTTTGACGGACAACTGAATGCCGCTGGTAAAAGTCTTCGTGCTTTAAAGAAATTAGCTGGAGAAAAGGTGGGGAATGCTGCCATGGACACTAATGATGGTATTCTTTCCAACGAGGACTTCCAAAGAATAAAAGAGCTCAAGGTATGTTGCTTCTTTAGTGCTGATCAGTGTTGTATTTGCAGTTGAATCTGATTGTGGATACTTCCATCTTATGTTTAGAATACAGTTATGTATTTTTTTGTCTCATATTTTACATTTGATGGTATGCCCTAACTAAGTATGGAACCTTAGTTGAGTTGAAAATATATTGTTGTAATTTTCTCCTTTTCTTTGATTATTAGACTAAGGAGGAGGCCAAAATTGCCTTGGCCCAGCATGGATTTAAGATTCCAAGCTCAGACCAACTTAGTACCAAGAGAGTTGATGCTGCCAAACTCGAGGTGAGTTCTATTTAAAGTTTCTTCCTTGTCATCTTTATTCTTGGAGTGCAGGTAAACCGATTTTTATTTCACCCGTCATTTTTTGGAGAACGAAAGCAATTAAAACAGTGTAGTTTGGTCAAGATCACCAACTGGGCTATGAGAATTTTGTTTTCCTCGTTATTCTCATAAGACCTCACGGGTCCTACTGAAGAAACTCGTGTGATGCGATTGCTTGTTGTTTTCAGGCTAACATAAGGAAGAAGTTAACCAAGGATCAAAAATTGGCATTGGTAAGAGCCGGGAGGGAGGAGAGAGGGAAATATCAATCTCGTACTTCTATAAAAAAGAAAAAGGTACTTATTATTATTATTATTTTTTTCATTTAGAGGTAATGTCCAATGTAGAAGTCAAACATTGTATATTATCATTTGGTTCTCGTCTTGAACATATATCATATCATAAAGGTTTGAATTGGAAGTTTGCAGCTTTAGGCCGCATTGAACAGGATTATTGCTTCTTTTTCTTTATTTTATGTTTTAATAATATTTGACAGACGGGTGGTACAAGCAACCAGCAAAAGGAACACAAAAAAGCCATGCCCCTTGCTGCAAGGAGATCCAAGATTGCAAAAGGCCGGGTAGAGAAGAAGAAAAAACAACAGCGTTCTGGCAAGCAATTCCGTGGAAGGAAAGCATGGAAATGACATGTTCTCCATTTAGCCTTTTTAAGTGTTTTATTTCCTTTAATTATGCATTATCTCCTTTTCTTTGCAATATAGATGGGAATACATACAAATTTTGTTCTTGCAATAACTTTCTGGAGGGAAAACACGTTACATTTCAGAAAACAAAATCAGGAGATGAAAAATATTGCATATTTAGAAGTTTATGGACAATGTAAAAATTCTATTTTCAATCTTAGATGCATGTTATAAGAAATGTTTGTTGAGTCTTATGTTCCACAGGTATGTACTAGATTGCGGGATGGGAATATTTGATATTCGAAATTTTGGTGTATATTAAAATCAAAATTTTAGTAAATTTTGATAAAAAAAATGATGAATTGTATAGTTGGAAAGTTGTGGGCTCATGAAATATGTGGTTAAAATTAATTGTTGATTTTGACATCTCTAAAATTTTGATAAAAAAAATGATGAATTGTATAGTTGGAAAGTTGTGGGTCATGAAATATGTGGTTAAAATTAATTGTTGATTTTGACTTGAGATGAAAAATAGATTTTAATCTATACCAAACAGGTACATTCGAAAAGTTTAAAGTAACAAGTGTGTGTTTGTGTGTTAAGAAATTATTTGGATTCAATTTTTTATTTTCAAATTAAGAAGAAAAATAAAGAATTAATAGAAACTATTGTACCAAAATTTTTAAAAAAGTGCAAACGAATTTCAAATAAATATTTAAAAAAAAAAAAAAATTCTCTCTCCCACCTGCACCTCTTCCCCTACCACTACCAAAGTTTTTCCTACCCTCATTTTATTCAAACAAACTGGGGCTATTTCCGTTCGTTTCATTCCAAACCCAAATTCATAATCTTTATCCAAAGCTCCAAAATCCTATCAGAAGAATTTAATTCCTATCTCAAATCTCTTCCAAAGGTATGGCTTCTTACCCTTTGAACTTCCCCATTTCCTAAAAAAGAATCAGTTTTTGTTGAATTCCAATACCAAAGAAATCGAAAATCCCGATAGATTGTATTATCGCAAAACCCTTCTTGGTTTTAGAAGAAAGAAATTGATCAGGTAGTTTGTTTGTTCTATATATATATATTATAGACAGCGTAGGTTGGATCGGGTTTATTTTTTATCTAACTCAAACCTAAGTCGTCATGGTTGGTTTGATCTAAAATTAAATCGATCATATTATCAGTTTAAACCCAATCAAAATCGATCAAGCTTGGGTTGATTTGGGCTGGGTTGGTTTGAATTGATCGGTTTGAGGTTGGTCCAATTCAAGTTGGATCCAGTGATTTTCTATTGAATTTGTGCAATTTTTAAATTATGAAATCACTTGAAAATCTTCGTTATTTTTAACTTATATAAGAAATTATTTCTAAAAATTAATTTATAAATAAGTTTGAAACTATTGAACATTTTCTTTACAAAAATGCTACTTGTATATCACCTACACCCCTCTCACATGGGGGTGTGGGATCCATTGCATAAATTATTTTTTAATCAAAGCGGATCCCACCCTCATGTGAGGGGAGTGTACACCCCGATATACAATTAGCAAGACCGTTTTCTTTATATGATTTTTTTTTTGGGATTTATTTATTTTATTATAACTTCCTTAATTTTTAGTTTATTGTCAAACTATTTTGCATTTGTATATAGTATTCAAACCAATTATCACATGCAAAAATAAAAAAAGGACATTTAAACATTCTAAATCATTCTCGTCTCCACTATTGTGTCTATTTAGATTTTTTCATTTCATTGGGTTGGTTGAATTGGGGTTTAGTTCATAACCTGAGACCCGACCCAACCAACCCGACCTCAAATTAGATTTTCCAACCCAATTGAACTTAAAAATCAACCTAAATTGATTGGTTTGGATTAAGTTGGTTTGAGTGATTTGAGTTGATTTTTGCCTATATGCACTTACATTCTTTCATAAGAATCATCAGATTAATGTATGATAGACTGAGTTTTAGAAATCAAAAGAACATGATTATTAGATTAAAAAGGGCTCGTATTGAATTAATTGGAAACCTTAACATTGAGTTCCAGTAAAGTAAAGTAGTTTGAAACCTATGTTCATTGATTAGCTTCTTATTTGGGCCTTGGTTTGAATTTTAAATTAATTTTTCTTTGAAGAATTTGAAAATTCAGGAGAGTATGGATCCATTTCAATTTCTATCTAGCTAACAAGAAATATCATCAAACTTCAAAAGTCAATTACCAAAGTTTAGTTCGGATTAAAATACCAAAAAAAGAAAAAGAAAAGTGAAAGACACATTTAAATGTTCTCGAACAAACTTTATCAAGTCATTACAACATCATTATTTTCAATAAAAATAATATTTCATTGAATTCTAGTATTATTTTCAAAATATTTTTTTCTCTTCCTTCTTTTTAATCACACATTATTCAATAAAATAATACTACACGCAAATCTGGTAGGCAAGATTTTAAGGGGATGTGGAGGGTATTTACCTAGGATTTTTCCACTTTTACAGGAAATGGTTGACAGAAGAGATTGACAACCTCTCACACATGGACGGATTTGGGGGGGGGGTGGACCGGACCGAGCTACAGTCTAGTCCAGCACCCAACCCATTTAATTTTTTTTAGTAGAATTTTTTTTTTTTAAAGTATTAGCTCGGTCTATAATTTGGTTCTTGCTCTAACATGTGTGTGGCTCTGCGTGAATAAAAAATTCCAAAAAAAAGTGGGGCTCCCACTGTGAGCGTTCGGTCAATCTCTTCTGCCAATAATATGGTTGGATGTGACGCTGATTCCCCCAAAATGAAAATAAACAAGTATAGAATTGCAATTTCAAATCCTTGTTGACATGAAGACCTTATTCTTTTTGCGGTTTACATAGAATGAATTTGGTCCAAGAACTGTATGGCATTTTACAGCCAACCTAGCATTCCACAAGCTTTTAGCCCCGGAATCCGAGGACCTCCACCCATTTCAGCGGCAACCACTGTCCATCCACCCTATATCAACCCCTCCAGCCCTCCATTTCTAACCACTGCAGTGATCCAAAGGAATTGCTGCATTCTGAAAATTCAAAAATTTTCATTCCACCAAAAATATATAAAATAATGGCACGCCAAATTGTCGTTCTTTTCCTCGTCTTCTTCGTCGTCTTCGGCCTGGCCTCGGCTGCCGTTGACCCCCACGCTGCCTCTGCTCCCGCCGAGGGGCCATTGGACAGCGGAACAGATAGCAATGTGATTGGCACTACTGATGGTGCATACAATAGTGATGAGGCAGCACCCGTTGGCGGGCCCGTTCCCGCCGGAGTTTTCTCCAATGCTTCCCCCGCCGAATCACCCAAGAGCGGCGCCACCACCGCTGAAGTCACCAACATCGTCGGTGTTGTAGCCGCTGCGGTGACCGGTTCCTTTTTCTTCTAAATGAATGAACAATATTCTGGGACATGGGATGTACAGCAATGGAGGTCTTTTGCATCCATGTCAATTGATTAGGATTAATTTGCACAAAGTAGCAATTTATAATTCAAAAATATTAAATAATACATGTCTTTTTAATTATTCTTGTGCAACTTTGTAATAGTTTGAAGAAATAAATGAAAAATAATTATTTGTTAAAGCGAAAATAAAATTATTTCCATTCATGATTCTTTTGTTAAAAAGCTATGTTCTAAAAAGCGCGAAAATGCGCCGCTTAGGCGACTCGCGGAGAAAACGCTTCGAATTCTGGGTATGCGCGGAAAATGCGTTTTTGTTCTAAAATGCGCCGCCTAATCCCGTCTAGGCGGAGCATTATGCCGCCTAATTTTTATTTTTTGGTAAAAAATCTATTTTTTTATATAAAAATATATTTAATGCCTTAAAAATATGAAACGCATTATGGCGTTTATTTCTTCGCATTGACACGCCTAAACTTGTGATTCTTGATTCTCGGCTTTGACGCATCGCAATGCATTACGCATTTTAGAACATTGCAATAAAAAGTAAATGAATGAGTATCGTGGTGATGTAACTAAAATGGATTTTGAAATTATTTGAAGTATATCAATTAGATAATTATCCCATTACATTTAACATATCTAGCTAAATGTGGAAAAAATAAAATATTTCATATGAAAGAAAAAATTATAAATAATTACTCGAGCTTGGTGCCATCCTGTGTTCTACCTCTAAATTATTTGTAAAAGTAGCAAATAAATTTTGATTTAAAAAATATTTATGACCGATGTTTACTATTTTAAGTTCACCAAAATAAGAATATCAAGATTTCTTCTATTTTTAAAATAGAAAATATTTTATGTATTAGTCTCATGCAATTTCTTCTTTATCTTTCCTTATCTCCGTCTCTAAATGCAGATGTCAACCCATTTAATCAAAGGACTTAGATTCTGAGTACGTGTTTAAATTTTCAAATTTATGCTACGTATACTTAGACATGCATATACATATTGTTGGAAAATTATCCTTGAAGGGAAATGGAGAAAATAACAATGACATATAATCAAGAACACCAAAAACTTGATAGAAATGCTCAAACACGTGATCGTTGTCTTCAAACAATATTTGTCTCTTCTAGGATTAAATTGGTACTTAAAAGGACTCTTGACAAATGGTTTGTAGGATTGATCGAGTCTTGAAAAAGAAAACACTTAAGTATTAGTGTTTTACTTCCAAAACTCAATGAACACAGTTTGAATATGTATTAGAGTTTGATAACCTCTCTATGAATTGAATGATTTGTTGTTTTCAATTGTTTCTAGAAATGAAAACCATCTCCTATATATAGTTTTCAATCAATAAACCACAAAAAGGCTCCAATGGTTCAAGAAAAGATGCAACAAAAAAAAAAAAAACCAAAAATTTCAAACCCAACGGCCTGGTCAAAGTTTTGGCCTCGGGTTATTTAAAACGAGGTTGGGCATTCACTCAAGGCAAAATGTCAGCTCCTTCATTTTCTCTTCTCGTTTCGTTTCCGGTATTCTCATACTTACTCTACACACCCATATGGATATATTATCATTCCAATATACTCATCATTATAAGTTGAGCACCAAATTACAATAATCCACCACTTGTTCAATTGTATAATGATACACATATTCAAAGTAGCAACATTTATGCATATGGATTAGGTTCTATTTGAATCTAACCATAGTGTAATTCTCACAAAGCATCATCGGAACTAAAGGTAGCATGATAGCTTTGAAGCAGTTATTCCTTGTGATAATACTTGTGAAAACACTTACGTAAATGTCATGGGTTCACAAGTTCCCCAAACTTGCTTAGCTACCTTGTGCTCATCTTATTCGTTGAACTTGTAAGAGAGAAACTTCAACTCTTTATTGATGCGGCACCACTTCGAAATTCATTTAGGTGAAGTTCTTTCAATATCTTTACTTTTAGAGATACTCGTAATTAGTACTGAACTTCATTAAGAGTTTTAAAGCTCAACCCTCCTTTAAATAACAACCAGTATTATATAATTAGGTTATGGTTCTTGTCGAAAATATAAAGCTAAAACTATCCACTTATCTAATGACTTGTTGTTACTCTTTGAACTCGTGTATTACTGGTTTAGTAATGACAGGTAGGATTGCTGTCATTGGTGAATCTTTTTTAGCTTAAGAGTTGCAACCCCTTCCTACTCGAAGTAGATACATCTAAATCTCTATTAAGAGGTTTAGTTAAAGGATCTGCTAGGTTTTCAATTGACTTAACGTAATTTAGAGAAATTATTCCACCATCGATTAATTTCCTTACGTAGTCTTCTCTTAGACTCATATGTCTAGACTTTCTATTGTATACTCATTGTGTGCCTTTGCTAATGTGGTTTGACTATCATAAATGATAGATATCGAAGATTGATTCTTTGGTCCCAAAGGTATTTCATATAGTAGATGCTTAAACCACTCAGCTTCTTTCTCAATATCTAATAATTCCACAAATTCAAATTCCATGATTGAATGTGTTATGCATGTTTGTTTCTTAGATTTTCAAGAAACTGCACCTTCTCCAAGAATAAATACCCAACCTGAAAAAGATTTACTCTCACTAGTGTTAGATATCCAACTAGCATCAGTAAAATCCTTTTAATATAGTTGGGAACTTAGAATATTGAAGACCTAGGTTTTTGGTTTTCTTTCAATAACCAAGAACTCTTCCAATGACCTTTCAACATTCCTTACTCGAGTTACTAATAAATCGAATAAGTTTACTAATCGCAAATGTTATGTCTGGTCTTGTGCATTGAACTGTATACATAAGACTCCATATAGTACTTTCATACTCCAATTGAGCGATTGCTATTCCATCATTATTTATAAACTTGGATCAAGAAGGGTATTATATTCTTTTATATTCAAATATTTGAACTTATTTGTCACGTTCTTGATATAATGTGATTGACTCAAATAGTGACCCCCACTATTTTTAGTAACTTTGATATCCAATATGGTATCCATGTGTCCAAGATCATTCATCTTAAATGTGGAAGATATAAATTTATTTATTTATTTTTATTCCATACATGTGATTACTCAAAATCAACATGTCATTAACGTACAAGTAAACAAATATAATATTTTTACCACATACTTTTGAATATAAACACTTTTCTACACTATTATGTATAAAACCAAATGAAATAATATTTAGTCAAAAATTTCATGTAATTTCTTAGATGCTTTTTTTAAACCATATAGTGATTTTACTAGTTGCACACCTTGTATTCATTTTTGAGTAGAACAAATCTTTCAAGTTGTTCCATATAAACCTCCTCATCGAGATCTCCATTTAAGAATGCCGTCTTGACATTCATTTGATGAACATGCAAGTTATGTATGGATGTTAATGTGAATAATATTCTAATTGATGTTATTCTAGCTACTGGTATATATGTATCAAAATAGTCAACTCCTTCCATTTGTCGATAACATTTAGCTACCAATCTAGTTTTAAAGGTATTAAGAGAACTATCTACATTATATTTTCTCATAAACACCCATTTACAATCGATAGATGTAGACACCGGGGCGATACATTGACAAGTTTCCACGTATTGTTTAACATAATGGAATATATCTCATCTTTAATTGCATCTTTCCAAAAAATACTATTACGAGAAGCGATAGTTTTCTATAAATTTTAGGATCGATTTCCACTTGTAAACCAAAAGGTATACTCACTAGATTCATTAACATCTTTAGAAGATGTTTCATCTCGTGTTTCACTAGAGTTAGGAATCTCTGTATGAGTTTCCCATAATTCATTATTTGAAGATAGTGAATTCTTAAAGAACTATACGTCATTTGGTCTCCAAATACAATAATCTATATGATTTGCTATTAGTAACATATCCAAAAAGGCACATTTAATGCCTTTTGGACCCAACTTGGTCCTTTTAGGGTCCGTGTTCTTATAATATGCAAGATACCTCACATTTTGAAGTATCCAATGTTTGATTTTCTCCCTTTTCACAATTCATAAGAACTACACCCTACAAATTAAATGACAACTTAGCATATGTTAACATGACATTTATCATTTCAACTAATGTTCTAATTTTTCTTTTAACCAAACCATTTTGATCGGGTGTCATATGTGCAAAACATTGATGTACTATGTTTTGTTGTTCACAAAATAAGTTAAAATCACTAAAAAAGTATTCACATCCTCTATCACTTCTTAGAGTTTTTATTTTTCTTATTTAAGTGGTTTTCAACTTCATTTTTGTAAGTTTTAAACATATCAAATGCTTCATGTTTATGTTTAATTAAATAAATATAAGTACATCTAGAGTGATCATCTATAAAGGTAAGAAAATACCTATTTTCTCCTCTAGTTAACGTACCATTTAGTTTACATACATGTAAATGAATAAGTTCTAAAATATGGTACTAACACCTATATGACTTAATCTAGCATGTTATGATGTAAAAGAATCAACCAAGTAAGCAAAATCAATTTTATTATTAATATTGTCAATGGTACATAATTTGACCATTTCTTTACATGACTAGTCTTTTCCAACAAATTTCACATTTCGGGATAATATAGGTTTTTAGAATTCATAAACATATTTTATGCCTGATTTTTTCAAGAGATTTCCACTAAGGGTTCGTTTGATTGCATATATGGAAAATGAGTGGAAAGAAAATGAATTTTAGGGAATTGAATTGTCTAGAAATTGTTTTACTGAGAATTGTAATTAATTGTGTTTGATTTGTATAATTTTTCACCTGAAAAAAGTTGAAAGTTTGGTGTCCGTTTGACTTTATTTTTTTATGGAATGTGTCCATTAAAGTGATAATTTCCTTTACCATTGGGTCTAGAATTTGTTTCACTTGCCAAAAAAATTTTAAAAATAAAAAAAAAATTAAAAAAAATTACCATACCGAATACCATTCTTTTGGCTTTGTTTTGTA